TGTCCTAAACCTTCCTTCCTCTGTTAAAAGGCGAACCATTAGAGATTATTTTCTCGTCACTCCCTAAATTGCGTGAGAAACTTTTCCATTTTGTCAAAAATAATATTAGTGTATAAAAATTCTTAAGATTAATCAAATCCAGTTTATATCAGAGTGTTTTTTTTGCCTAAAAGGAATCAGAGAACATCTTGCTGTTCTATGATTTTAACGAGATATTACCTACTGCTTATTAATACAACCCAAATAGTCTTCTTAAGCAGAGGTATTCATCACTAGAGGTGAGCAAAAAAACCGAATCCGAAAATCCAAACCAAACTTGACCTGATAAAAAAGAACCCGAACCGATCTGAACCTGATATAAGTACCGAATGGATCTTGTTTTATAGTATTTCGGGTTATGGGTTTTATCCAAATTGAATCCGAACTTAAATGGATATCCGAAAGAACCCGAAACTTTAAACTCTCAAAAAAACTTGTACCATATCCAATCTCAAATTCTAATATATTTCTAAAACACATTAAGATATTATTGAATACCTACTTAGTTATTATATGAATAATTAACTCAAATACTTAGTCTAATATATAGTTTTATTTGGTTAATATTAATGTTTATGTTCGCAATTACATTTGAAGTTTAGTTACGAATAAATTTGTTTTGAAGTTTAAACAGTGTTGTTGTTTTTAAATTTAAATAGTATTTCGTAGGTTTATAGAATTCTTAGCTGTTAACTTTAATTTTTTATCTTTAGTTATGTATGATTTTCATTCATAAAAGACTTTGGTTTATTATGCAATGATGATGTAACTTGTCAGAGGTGTTGCAGATATGGGTTCCTACTAATCCTCGTGGTGCTGAGAGGCTACCTCCAGATATAGTCACCCCTGAATCAGATTTGTACCTCCGTCGATTGTGGGGTGACCCTAATGAGGTACTGGCTCTTGTATATATATCAGTATGGCTTTAGGAGGATGTTAACATTTTGATTGGTTATGGTTTTTTAGGATTTGAAAACGAAGCAGCGGTATCTAGTTACGTTTACGGTTGGTTATGGTCAGAGGAAAAACATTGACGCTGCGTTGAAGAAGGTATCCTTGGCCTCCTTTTGTAATCTCCTTCTTTTCTCATTGCTTAACTTTTGAATCTCTCAGTTCTCAGATAACTTCACTATAATGCTCTTTCACTACGATGGCCGGGCCAGTGAATGGGAAGAGTTTGAATGGTCTAAGAGAGCCATTCATGTGAGCATTCGCAAACAAACAAAATGGTTAGCAGCTACCTTTGTTCTTCCTCCTGATAGGAGCTTCTATGTACTGACATATTCCTTTAACCTGAAGGTGGTACGCCAAGAGGTTTCTTCATCCGGACATAGTTGCTCCCTATGAGTACATCTTCATATGGGACGAGGATCTTGGCGTGGAACACTTTGATTCAGAGAAGTATGCTTTTTTGAAGCTTTGACTTCATTCTATTGGCTTTTGAGGTTATTAACATTTAAATGATATGATAGATATTTGGCGGTGGTGAAAAAACATGGTTTAGAAATCTCACAGCCTGGGTTAGAGCCATATGAAGGTCTCACATGGGAGATGACAAAGAAAAGAGATGACACTGAAGTTCACAAGTGAGGATAATATATATATATATATATATATATATATATATATATATATATATAATAAAGTTCCTAAGTTCTTCTTTTACTACTGCAATCATCATATTCAACGACTTTTGCATGTTCCTGTAGGCATGCCGAGGAGAGGAATGGCTGGTGCAGTGATCCAAATCTACCCCCTTGTGCAGCGTATGCTACTTTATATACCTTTCAATAACTTAGCAAGATTGATTTTCATAGAGAGTGGATATCTTTATCATTCATACTTGTGTAAATCACTATCAGATTCGTTGAGATTATGGCTCCTGTTTTCTCCCGTAAAGCATGGCGCTGTGTGTGGCATATGATTCAGGTATGATAAAAAGAACCAAACTCCGAGTCCCTCTTTGTTTCTCTTCAGCAAATGCTAATTGTACCTTATAACTGCAGAACGATTTAATTCATGGATGGGGTCTAGATTTTGCGGTTCGAAAATGCGTTCAGGTATGCAACTTCACTTCCTTTTGGACACACTTAAATCCACATTTAGATATCCTTGTCATGGATTATATACCCACTTGTTTCATATGTATGTTCTCATTAATCTTGCAATTAATAGAACGCACACGAGAAAATTGGAGTGGTAGATGCTCAATGGATTATTCATCAAGGTGTTCCATCACTGGGAAACCAAGTATGTTCACAACTTCTTCTTCCATTTTATTTTATGGCGTTAGAAACTATATAACTCATTTTCCACTAAATATCGAAGAGAACTAGGACCACTGCAGCAATTTCAGGACCATAGTCACATTTCTCAACGTCAAAACCAATACAAATATTAGTATAAAAATTCACAATATATGTAGTTCTTACTCCGGTAAATATAGGCTTTGACGCAATCCCAGTCAGTCAGTAGAAATTTGCAGTAGTTATTATATATATTGGCTGAGTTATGTAAAATACATTGAACAGAGTTGCGAACCTTAACTCATTTATTCTTGGTGAATCTAAAATCTGACAGGGACAACAAGAGCAAGGGAAACAGCCATGGGAAGGGGTAACTATCCATTCTAGAGTCTATTGTGTTTTGTAGTCTTTAAGGTATAACAAAGTCTGTTGCTGACTTTAAATCTGTTATCTCAGGTGAGGGAAAGGTGTAGGAGAGAGTGGACGATGTTCCAAGACAGATTGGATGAAGCAGAGAAAGCTTACTATGAAGCATCTGCTCACAAGAATGCTTCTTCTTCACGACCTCACCGGTAACCAAAGACAAAAACTGTCTCTCTCTCTCTCTCTGACTTCCACTCCGTTGCTTTCGTGTTGTGTTTGTGGAAGGAGAGCAGTCTCTTTTTAACCTCTCTGCTAAGGAAATATTCTAAGCACATACGTTAATTTTTTTTCTTTTGTTAAATCATAGTATTGTATGAGAACTCAGTGAGGAAATATAGATAAATAATATGCGCTTCTTACTTTTATCACCTTATATAAAAAAAAAGAAAATCAATCAAAGTTGTAGGCTAACTGCCTAACACATCAACAGACTGAAAGAGTCATGCAACAATGTATTCATAAAGAGCAAATCTACTACTTTACATCCATATGCCCACCTTGGGCACTAGAACCCAATACTTTGAACATGTGGTAATCGTGTTATCACTAAAATATGTAAATTATTAGGCAAAACACAACATTTTTATTTAATGGCTTTCATCCACACTTGACTACACTTCAGACGCAGAATGATTGAAATTAACCTACTTTTGGTTGAACATTTGGTTGAAGTTGATTGACAATAAAAGAATGACGTAGGAGGTTGGCTAAAATCAACAGAAAACACCACTTGAGAACATTAAAGTTTGTGATGAGATGCATAATAAACAAAGCCTCAGATATCATGCTAAAGCCAGAGCTACATGAAATGAATATCGACAGTTGTATGATGAATAATTTAACTCAACCTAACATAAACAAGAGGGCGTTTGGTCTAGTGGTATGATTCTCGCTTAGGGTGCGAGAGGTCCCGAGTTCAATTCTCGGAACGCCCCCATTTTTTTTCCCTTTTGCAGACTTTATTTTGGGCCTATGTATATCTACTCGGCCTCATAAATTCTAAACTATGGGCCCAATATTATTTTATTATTATCACGACTCTGAGCTGTAAAACATTTCTATTTGCAGATCTAAAACCAAATCCAACACTCTTATCTCCACCACTGCGATGGAAAGAGACCAAGATTGGGTACTATGCAACGACGACGGCTTCGTTTTCAAACGAATCCAAAACTCCGAACCCCCTGGAGAAACCTCCAATCCCGTGGATCCGGAGTTAGATCCCGCCGTCGTCGAGAGAAATCGAAGGAAACGGAAGAAGACAACACTCCTGAACCTCAAAAGCAAGTACCAGAGAGAGATCCATCAATGGGAGATTCTCTCGAACAGATTCAATACCACACAAGAGAAAGCTTCTCGGTTCCAAACAACGTTAGAGCGAGAAGAGAGATTAAACGCTGAAGCGACGTCGTTTCGAGATTCTCGTGCTCGGGAAAATAATAATTCCGCGTCTAGTTTCCTCGACGAGCTTCTCTCTATTGTAATTAAAATAAGTTGTTGCTTGGTTTTGTCTTACTTTAAAATTATTTTTTTAATTTTATATATTAAATTAGTTTTACATGTTTGGGAATTTACAGGCGGAAGCACAAGAAGTGATGATTAATGATGTCTCAAACCTGTGTGAAGTTGCAGAAAACATAGTTAGAGTGGAAGAAGAAGAAGTGAAGCAGTTACTGTTTGAACTTGATGTTTGGAGTTCACCAAAGAATCTAATGGCGTCGCTTTGTGATGATTAAGCCCTAAATTCTACCAGCTTTCTGTATATTTTGTGTTCTAACTGTAGCGGGAAGGTGTGAAACAGAACTACATCTGTAGGAATAACTTTGAATAATCTAAAGAAGGTGGAAGTTAGGAGAATTATATTTTGTTAATGATTAAAAGATTAGGTAGGGAGGGAGGAATTGATCTCTACAGACTTGTTGTTTATTGGTCAGTCTTTTTTCAGTGTTGCAGTTAGCTTCTCTACTTTTGCTCTCTTCAGAAGGAATCTTGTACTAATCTTCCATGTGTATGTATCTCTCCACGAACACCAACGGGGACATAGTTTTTATTCTTGGAACCTAATTTTTTGAACGCTTGAATCTGCTCTGGTGTTAAAAGTTCTGGATCATGTACTGGAGATGGCAGCTCAGGGAGATCGTATTTCTTGAGCTTTTGCAATAGAAGCGCAACTTTCTTCTTTGCCTGCATCATATAAACAGTAAGCAAAAACAAAAATTTAACTCAAACTATTCACAAAGTAAGCAAAAAACTACACATAAAGTCTCAAACTTGATTAAATGGCAATAATACCCTTTTGAGGTTGTAAATGAGTCTTTCTTCATCAGTCATGAGTTTCTTCTTCAACTTTTTAGCACGCCTAATCTCTCGTAACGTCTTACCAGACTCTTTACGCATTCTACTCTCCACTTTACTCCTCATGCTCCTTCCTCTCGATGTAGACATGGCTCGAGACCATCCTTTGAAGACTTGATGCATTAGTGGAGGAGATGAACTTGAATTGCCTTCAGTGGAGCTACCAGGCTGCAGCATTGCATTGCTTGTGACAGGATTTGATGACAAGCTCAGATTCCTTCAAGATCGAAATCCAAAAAAAAAAAAAACATCAGAAAAAACTATAATTCGGACATAAAGATGTGAGCTTTGGGGACTTTAAAGGAATCTGGGAGACGGGTATTTGAGTAAATCTCGATTGGAATAGAGAAAATGGGATTAGGGTTTGAAATCTGAAGTTACCTGGAGGAATCGGATTGAAGGAGAGACGATAAGGACCATTTACAAGTTTTCGAGCAATGTCTCGAGACACTCCTCGTCGCGAACATTTGGGCTCTTATGCAAGTGAAGTTAGCAGCAGAAGGAGAAATGGGGAAAACGAATTCGAACAAGAGAGGAAGAAGTTGTTGAGCTAGCCGTAATGGAGGTTGAGGGTTTTAGAAGACGACCTTAAATGTTTATTTATAATTATAACATCTATACTTAGAACAACAGAGTCGTTGTAGTATAGTGGTAAGTATTCCCGCCTGTCACGCGGGTGACCCGGGTTCGATCCCCGGCAACGGCGTATAACTTTTTTTTTGGCGGCGAATCGGAGGAGCATTTTTTTTCCATGAACTCGTTAAGGTCTTCTTCCAGCATGAAGTAACATTGAGTTCAGAACCTTGAGTTCATCTTCGCATTCTGATTCTCGAAGCTGACATCTTGTGCCACAAGACACAATAGCAGAGATGATTCAAGACTCAAGAGTGTTCAATCTAATTAGTCTGAATTCCTTTATTGTTTTCTAGATTTCTTGAAAGATCAAATTAAGACAAGACTAATAAAAGCCAATAAATTTTTGATAAAAGAATCTATTATAAGTTTTTAGTACACTGAAGCTAAAGTGACAAAAGAGTACATATCGTTTTACATTAACAGCGTCGTATAAACACACTCTCCAAATCATAAGGAGGCACAAAGTACTCTACACCGACATTGCTCCGACACTTCAACGCCGGTCGGCGTTTCCTTGGAGCCGGCGGACATATCAGTTTCTCCGAGACCTTGGCTTCTTTCGCCGTGGGAGTGACGCAGCAATCTTCATCTTCAACTTCTGTTTCTCTCTCGAGCTTCCTCAGTTTCGTCTTAATCGGTTTCAATGAAGCTCGAATAGAGATTTCGGCGATGACCCATGTTTTACCATCGGCGATGACTTGAGATTTCTTCGAAGATCCCATTTTTTTTTATCAGTTCCGATCAAGTAGAAAAGAGACAAGATGGTGAGAAGACAAAAAGAAGATGGAGGAATAAATGAAAAGTCTGCGAAAGATTTTGACTTTTAAAGACACGGTCTTGCTTCCCCAGGAATTTTAAGACAAGAAAGCTTACAGAGGAAGCAGAGGTAAGGGTAAAATCGGGAATTAACAAAAGCGTGTCTAAATTATGGCGCCATCGTGTCGAGTATATTAGCTCACAACGGTTCTCTTTCCCGCCACTTTCTGCTCAAGTAAGTTGCAAGACTGTTCACTGGGCCCATATTTCAACCCTTATTATGAAACTTAATGGGCTTTAAAACATTTATTGGGCTTTCTTTTTTTAAGAAGTCAAAAACAAAACATTTCGAGTTTTTTCGGGGGAAAATTAATTTTCCCGCGTAAAAGAGAGAACACACCGCCGAAAAATGGAAAATTAATCCCGCCGGGTTTTCCACATCCTTTAACATCTTTCTCCCGGCGAAATATCTCCACCAACCACATCTCTCTGCCGCTTCTCTATTCTCCTCCGATGGAAAACTCCAGTTCTAGATCCGTCTTCGTCGACATCGGACTAAGAGAGCTCAACGGATTCCGAGGTAATTAAAATCTGAAATCTCCACACGTTTTTACATTGCGTTTTTGGAGAATCTTTGTAGCTCTTTTTAATTATTTGACTTGTTTTTTTTTTCAGCTTCTCATGATTTTTGCTGATTAAACATTTTTTTTGTTTGTTTCAGTAAGGAAGCGACCGTTCTTCTACGCAGATTCAGAGCTGATTTGTAAAGAAATAGCCGGCGTTGCTGTCGAACACGACGGTGATCGTACTCCTCCTTTGGCCGTTTCGTTCTGTAAGGTATATACATACTTCTTTATGGTTCAGTTGATTCTTAATCGTAATAACAATCTCTTAGATCCAATCTCAAGTCTACAGATGAAATTTTCTGATTTAGTTATGCAATTTTAGTTACTTAAAGAAATGTATTAGACTTAATAAAGTCCGGTTAACATGTTGGTTGAACCGAGATTAGATAGTATAAGTACATAACCATATTGTAACAAACTTTACCAAGTTAATCATAACAAACTTTCTCTAGATCTAATAAAATGTACTACAATTATGGTTGTTTGTGATTAGAATTAAAGATTAGGTTAAATGTACAGAGTAACAAGAAGTCTCAGTTATTCGCGGTGTCAGATGAGGATGGACATGTGAGCTTGTTTAATTCGAATCACAAGTTCGCCTCTTCTGCAACTCACCAAGAGAATACAGGTGTCATCTCCTTCCCCTTAATAAACCCTAATTTTTATTTTCTTGGCTGCTTAAGTGAATACTGAGTTGTGTTTGTTTCAGTTAATGCCAGGCTTAGTGACTGGGTTGCTCATTATAATGCGGTCTTCGACATTTCTTGGATCAAGGTGTGCCTTATGCTCAGCATTTAACTAATTCATGAGTCTTTTCTGGAATTAAAAGAAGTTTATTTGATGTAGGGAGATAGATGTCTTTTGACTGCTTCTGGTGATCAAACTGTAAGTAGTGAGAACAAGATTATGAGTTAAGTAGTTTGTGAGAACAGCAGAGGTTAAGATAAGGTTTTTCTTTTGATGTGAGTGTAGATTAAAGTATGGGATGTTGAGGAGAATAAGTGCACTGGAGTTCTTATAGGACACACAGGAACTGTTAAATCAATGTGCTCGCATCCTACAGATTCTGGTTTGTTTCTTGCAAATGTCTCTTCTTTGTTTACTTATTGATGTTTTCCATTAAGATTGATCTCTAAACTCTTGCTGTTTTGAAGATATTCTTGTCTCTGGCTCCAGAGATGGGTGTTTTGCGCTATGGGATTTAAGATGTAAAAGTAGCTCTCACAAAGAAGAGTTTTGCATCAAGTAAAGTTCTTCTGTCTAAACTTAGTTGTCAAGATCTTTCTCCTCTTTTTTGTTCCCTTCGAACCATCTTGATTGTTGTTCTGGCCTTTATACAGCTATACTGGCATGGTTAAAGGAGCTCATCTATCTCCTCTTTCAAAACGAACCAGACTTAGCAAGGTTTTACTCCTGCCCATTCGTGACTTTTCTCTTTACATTTATCCTATCTTCTCCGCTAATGCTTTGTGTTTTCAGGCTGCTTCATCAAGCATTACCTCTGTGCTTTATCTCAAGGACGAGATCACAATTGCCACAGCTGGAGCACCAGATAGGTACTTGCACAACACTAATTGAGTTCCTCTAAAGGGTATTGCTACTCCACAGAGCTTATAGCTAAGTTGTTTACATCCTTTTGTTTTTTCTATTCTGTTCTCTTAGCGCCTTGAAATTTTGGGATACAAGAAAGCTAAAAGTTCCTTTTGCTCAAGCATCTCCACAGTCAGACTCAACAAACACTAAGGTAAAGCTAAGTTTCCTATTCCTAAACGGTTACAATGGAAAACTAGTGTAGTCTGCAGCATGTTTATTATTTTTGTTTGGTGGTTTCAGGAAAAGAGAGCACATGGTATAGTATCCTTGTCCCAGGACTCAAGTGGAACCTTACTTACAGCATCATGCAAGGACAACAGGTTTAATATTTACACTTCAAAACTTTTCATAGTAATTGCCCATTACTTGTTAAAACATCCAACTCTAATCAAACAAGTTTTCTCCTTTTCAATAATCTCTTGCAGAATCTATCTATACAACGTACTACAGCTTGACAAAGGACCTGCACAATCGTTCTCTGGTTGCCGGATAGATTCTTTTTTCGTAAGGGTAATACTACCTTGTCCACAATGTACCCTTCAAGCAGACAACTGATTTGATTTTGTAGCATTTTTCACCCTCTCACTCGTCTTTGAAATCTTTCTCTGCAGACAATGATAAGTCCTGACGGTGAGTACATTTTGAGCGGTTCAAGCGACCGTAACGCTTACATATGGCAGGTCAATAAGCCTCATGTAGATCCTACAATCTTGAAAGGCCATGACTCTGAAGTAACCGCAGTAGATTGGTAACTCCACGTCACCGAATCTTTTATACTTACCTCAGCTCTTAGTCCATTCGATGAAAATATTAACTAAATCTCCTGTGCAGGTCTCAATCAGAGATTGGAAAGGTAGCAACAGCGTCAGATGATTTCACGGTAACAAAACATTTCATATGTTGATCAAAACCAAAAAAGGTTATGTTTGTTTTTCTCCATGTGCTGACTTCTTTCTCTGTTCTTAATCAGGTAAGATTGTGGAACATAGAGAACAACCTTTGCACAACCGCAAACGCACCACGAGTTAAACGCAGAGTAACTGCATTGTCATATACTGAAGCAGCCAAAGAGAGACTTGAGATGAACAGAGAACCTGAGAGTCCCCAAAAGCATTTATCAGATGATGGTGATAACAATAATAATCAGTCACTGTCTACCATCAGAACTCCAGAGACTCAGAGAAAGAGAACATCACTATCATCATCATTGTCATTATCAGCCTCAGAGGAAGACAAAACATGCGAGAGAACACCAGAAACCGCAGTTGACAGTCCATCATCTGTCCTAAACCTTCCTTCCTCTGTTAAAAGGCGAACCATTAGAGATTATTTTCTCGTCACTCCCTAAATTGCGTGAGAAACTTTTCCATTTTGTCAAAAATATTATTAGTGTACAAAAATTCTTAAGATTAATCAAATCCAATTTATATCAGAGTGTTTTTTTTGCCTAAAATGAATCAGAGAACATCTTGCTGTTCTATGATTTTAACGAGATATTACCTACTGCTTATTAATACAACCCAAATAGTCTTCTTAAGCAGAGGTATTCATCACTAGAGGTGGGCAAAAAAACTGAATCCGAAAATTCGAACCAAACCCGACCTGATAAAAAAAAACCCGAACCGATCTAAACCTGATATAAGTACCGAATGGATCTTGTTTTACAGTATTTCGGGTTATGGGTTTTATCCAAACTGAATCCGAACTTAAATGGATATCCGAAAGAACCCGAAACTTTAAACTCTCAAAAAAACTTGTACCATATCCAATCTCAAATTCTAATATGTTTCTAAAACACATTAAGATATTATTGAATACCTACTTAGTTATTATATGAATAATTAACTCAAATACTTAGTTTAATATATAGTTTTATTTGGTTAATATTAATGTTTATGTTCGACATTACATTTGAAGTTTAGTTACGAATAAATTTGTTTTGAAGTTTAAACAATGTTGTTGTTTTTAAATTTAAATAGTATTTCGTAGGTTTATAGAATTCTTAGCTGTTAACTTTAATTTTTTATCTTTAGTTATGTATGAATTTCGTTCATAAAAGACTTTGGTTTGTCATTAATTAGAATATGTTTAGTGTTGTTACATATAGTTCAAAGACAAATCTTATATGATTAATAGACGAGTTTCACAATATTATTTTGTAGGATAATTATATAATTCGAAGAAGCTAAATACAAAAATTTATTAAAACGATTGAAAATATATTGAGTTTAATCGAGTATAAATTAATATTTTAGAACCGATAACCCGATTAGTATCCGAAGCCGAAACTATTTGGGGTTCAATTGGATCTTTGACATGTTACTAAATCCGAACCGAACCCGAGATAACCCGAACCGAATCTAACCCAAATTTTGATAACATCTGAATGGGGCTAAAATTTTTAAATCTGAAAACTCGAAATTTGAATGAACAAGAACTGAAATCCTGATTGCCCAGCCCTATTCATCACAAACAAAACAAAACTGCTAGACATACCCTTATGTTCTTCTCTATATAATCTCTTTCTAAAAAGATGTATAAAAATTAATTGCAAATATATAATAAGATTGGACACCACTAGATTGGGTTCGACGTATTATATAAAATGATGTTAGACGAAAAGAGATGCATTAATAAAATAAAATTTGATCAAATAATTGTGCATATCTAATGATTGTTGTCCACATGCATACTATTACTAATACTTGACATGCAATAATTCCGTCGACATTTTCCTGCGTTATACATTTCTTCAACAACCATTCCACAAAGTCCCAACCCATGATTACTAAATCATAAGTACCTTTGATTCAACTACATGGGGCTCATACAAATCTTGCAATCAAGCTAGATATAGATTACACTCAAAATTTATTTCAGAAAAAATATAAATTATACTCAAAAAGAGTACCCCCATTTATAATAGGCTTCATTCTGATTTTTTTCGATCATATCTTATACAATTATCAACTAAAATAGTTTTGTTATCATTAATTTTCTTATAACAACAACCAATCTAAGAATTTATAGCGATTACTAGTTTTCCTTTTCAAAGCATGTATTTAATTTCCAAAAAGCCAAAGTAGTACCAGTTTTAACTTTCACTATACGTACTTATATGATAATGATATACTAACTAAATCATTCTGTAAGTTTTCTCTTGGACATATTACTTAGTAGACTATGTACCAATGTTTTTTTGTTGCTAGTTGTTCAGTGGAGGTCAAAGACTTGAAATACCATGACCCTCGCTTTACTTGGCAGCCGGATATAACCCAACTGCAGCAGACGGATAACCCATTTTCCAAAAACTGGTTAGAGTTATCGCATTATTAAACGAGTGTATTTAGGCATACACTGAAATCTAATAAGGATTTTATATACGTAAAGTATCCTATAAAGAATGTATACGTAAAGAAATGCTTCCCAATGATTGACTATCTCATCTAATCATTGGTATAATCTACGCACATGCTAGTATGCTACCAAATATTGCACTTATGGTATTTCGTATATATATATGTTTTTGAGCTTTTCTTTTTTTCTTTTTGTAACGATGAGAATCTCAAATGTTTGTCTAAAGATTAATCCCATGAAATCTTTCATCAGATAACTTTTTTATCACTAGACTAAAACGACTTATGACACTGATAGGAATTACTAATCATCTTTGTTTGTAAAAGCACTTTGGGTTTAAAAAGATACAAAATAGTTATTTGACTTATTTTAAAAATGAAGTTAAAAAGCATACAAAATAGCTAAGATTTGATTTAAGTAAAACAAAAGACTTTTGTTCGGTAAAATCTTATAGGCTTTACTTTGTTGGTTCATATGTTTAGGGACATAAGTTTGATAGCTTAGTGATATATAAACATTTGAGAGAAATTAATATCGGCAAAACGGTAATTTGGTGATAATTTATTTTATGACTATATAATTGTCTATAGTTCCTTTTTGCTATTAAACTAAAATCTAATGATAAAAACAAGTAAATTTAGTGATGTTTATGTAAGAAGGTAGGATTATGTTAGTTTTAAAAATGACAATTGCGGTATAGTATAGAAAAGGGTTGTTTACAGAATTAATTCTATTTTATAAATTCTATTGGAGATTTCGGATTATATAAGAAAACAAGCACTACATACAACTTGTTTGTATCTAACCGACTCCCAACCATCATGGTATGCCAAAATATTGAATGATCCCAAACATTTAATTAATTGATTATTTGATTACAAAAATAAAATGTCATTATTTTCAGAAAGATGAACAGTAAAATCAGGAGGGGTCATATGTTAACAGTGAAATTCACTTAAACAAAATGCCAGCACACCGGATTTTCTCAGATTCTCAACAGTTCTGATGTCTTTGTAACTTAGTATCCCAAAGTTATCAATTACTGAAAAATTATTAAATGTAGTAAAAATTTCCAAGGTTTGGAGTTATTCATTTTTAGTTCACTAGTTTAGGTTCTCAATCAATTGAGGCCAATTTGTCTTTTTGGAATTGCATTATATATTCATCTTTCTCGCTCATACCACCAAAAATGCATTTTCCTTTCTCTCTCTAACTTTCCCCTTAGAGACTCTTTTTCTCTCCAACTAGGGTTTCCTCGCAGATACAACGAAAAGAATCCCAATAATTGAATTGAAAATCTTCTTGAGGATTTTTCATCTCCACTTCTTATAGTTAAAGACACAAGAGAGAACATAAAGAAGATCAAACCATTCTGAGTAGATATCTCGGAGCACTTTCCCTTGTTGCTCCATTAAAAGGTAAGACCCAAAGTTTTTCATATTCAACTCATGCCAATTCGCCCACACATACTTGCATAAATATGTATAGATTGTACTTTTATATTGATTTATTCTAAGAATATTAAGAGTGTTTAGATCATACTGATTTGATCACTAATCTTGAACTTCTGAACGTCTAGATTTCATGACTTTTTATATATAATTTTAGGTTCCATACTCAAACACTACCCTTAAGTATATAACAAAGCAATTTAATTAGATCGTAGATTCAAGAAATTAAACCTTGATGTGGTGAGATCTCAGAGTAAGAGAGACAGAGAGTGTTGAGAGGATAAAATCAAGAAAGTATGCAAGAATAAAATGTATGGCAAGACTCAAGAGTGTTTCATATTCGAATTTAAATAAATGAGTAATCAAAAATTTCCCAAAACTTTTTTACGTTGTTTTTACCATATTTGGTGGTTCGCCAATACTCATATATTTACAACAAAAGAAAAGTTATTTTGAAGAAAAGGTCTAGTGTTTGATAGGAAAATATACATATATATTCTTTAAATTATTTTGAAAGTTTTCACAAGTGAATTTAAGGTCATATATGTAAGAACAAATTGTTTTCTTATTTATAAAAATAAAAAAGTACATGACCCCGTCAGATTTAACCAACCAAATACTCTAGAACGTAAAACCAGTCTGAGTTACCTTTAATGTGAATTTAATATAACAACACCCAGTTTCTTCTTATATATATAGCTATGGATATTAAATGAACGTTTATATGTTTATGTAATGATTTTTGAGGATACGAAGACTATAAGAACATCTTATGTTTTAATTTATAACCAATTATACTGATGATGAGACAATCTGCTAGTTACCAACACACTGGAAAAATAAATTTCATAATGTATCAGTGTTTATTAATGTGTACGTCGTTTTTGTATATACTCAGGGTATATATATAAGTAATAACCAAAAATGTCATCATCCTACTCGAACTACACAAACTCACCGTGCGCAGCATGCAAGTTCCTACGAAGGAAGTGCACGTCACACTGCGTATTCGCACCATATTTTCCACCAGAGGAACCTTTAAAGTTTGCCAACGTCCACCGGATCTTTGGGGCAAGCAACGTGAGCAAGATCCTCCAAGAAGTTGCCCCGCATCAACGGGAAGACGCGGTGAACTCGCTGGCTTACGAGGCGGAGGCACGGCTAAAAGATCCAGTGTATGGCTGCGTAGGGGCCATCTCGGTGCTTCAAAGAGAGGTCTTGAGGCTGCAAAGGGAGCTAGAGGAGACTAATGCTGATCTCATGAGGTGTGCTAGTTATCTTGGCGGTGAAGCGGCGTCGGCTTATGGAGGACGGAGGGGTTGACTAGTCAACGGGTTGTAAAGGCAGGGAGGGTGGATTGTTGATGTGATGAAGGTGATGATGATATTTTCTTATGTATGTGTATGTAAATATATATAGATGTATGTGTATGTACATACATACTTATGCGTATGTGTAATTATTAAACTGTATTTTCTTTTACATGGCAGGTCAACGAATATTTTTGAATACGTTAAATAAGTAAATTATGAATTGATGTACTCATGTTGGGTGCTTAACTGAAAGTATTGCTAACAACGAGATGATTTAAGTTGCAACACTTTTAATTGAAGTTAGCTATTTAATCAAGTTTTTAATTATAGTTTTATGATTGAATTTATGTGTATAAATGTCAACGGAGCAATATAATTTTTGAGCTAAGATAATTAAAAGCACAGTATATCAGTGTCGAGAACTTTGAATAGATGTGCTCACGGGAAAGTAGACTAATAAGTAGTTGTTTGATTACACACGCTAGTCACTGGTCAGAAACATCATTTGCTAATATTCTAAAGTTAGTCGAGTGATTTTATAATTTTGTCGACATGAGAATAATATTTAATAATTAATCAATTGCTGAGAACATGAAGTTTACTACCTTTATATAAGCACATCTTCATAGGGAATCTCTTTTTATAGTCAGTCCATTCTAATTCATTTCATTTGGCGGCGACCTACAACCAAATATATTCACATACAAAATCAACTCACCAAGAACTACCCACCCCTAGCTCTCATTTTGGATAAGTTGCGATTGATGACCATTTTAAAAGAGTAAAGAGTGATATAATATCAGAAAATATTAGTAACCCACAAGTTTACACTTTCATGTAAAGTAAAACATGTTATAATTTTATTTTAATCAATTCCGATTTGAAATGTGAAAAAAATTATCGGAAACAAACCATTTTGAAATTATAAGGTGAATGTGTTTGATTACATAACCATAAATGATTGTTTTGGATTTATGAAAAACATTTGTGTAATGTTTGGTTTAAATATTCATCAAATAATGTTTTCTTAAATGTGAAATTTAAAAATTAGTTATACTAATACTAGTTGACAGAAAGGTTGACAAAGATAGACTAATACAGTAATACTACTATCACTGCAAAATAAAATAAAAATCTGTATGTTTCTCAAAATGTGTGATGTTTTAGACCAATGCATAACTATTGAGAAAAAATACATTTTGTCTAAAACATATTATTAAAAGATAAATTAAAAATTATTCATTCAATTACAAAATAGGAATAAAATACTTTTTTGACAACGAATAAAATACTATTAAATACATAGCTTTTAATAAAGTTCAAAATTAACTAAAAAATGAGAACTTCTATACTACTTAAAACATCAAAAACGTTCTTACAGATCATGCATTTCATACGAAAAGAAAGAAGTATCATTTTAACTCTTACTGCTACCGGTTTATCAATTGGTTGCATAAACACAGTTCAACTTTTTCAGCTACGCAAAAAAAGACTCAATGAGACGATCATCATGTTTACGCTTCAATACTCCTTAACTCACTTGTGATTGGAACATAATACATCTTTAAATGGATTTAATCATGCTGTTTAACTCGGATCTAATCGGGTATATATTATTATTCACATCATCACATTCACATGTTTATCTATATATATTTTCTTAGCAAAAAAAAAATGTTTTATCTATATAGTACATATATCGTCGACTTCCATGCGTTGATTTACATGCCGACTTCAAGACAAGTGGATTCGAGATTATGTTCAGACACGAGTCAGCTTCAGAAACCGTAAGTCCGTAACTAAAGGTACCATTTTCTGCTATCATCATTTCATTTAACCCTTTTTATTTATTATAGCAAACATCTTATTTTGTTACACTATCACTGTCGACTGCTGAAATATGATTGTTTCGCCATGTGATATAGCATCTCATATTGTACATCTTTAGACTTTTCCTCAATTATTCCCTTCCATTTTGTTCACTCTCTTTCAGTTCTCCTAAACTTTTTCTTTGTTGCGGTAGTTACAAAACGATACAAATCGTTTACATTTTGAAAAATAATCCACACCTTGTGAAATTTGAAAGGAAAAAAAATCTAATATATTATTAATTACCTGTCACGCACAGGTTCAAACCATTAAACTTTTCAGTATTAAGAACCTTGAGTTGATGACCACCTAAAACTCCAGCGAAATTTTTGTACTAATGTCCCTGTTTCAAAGAAACCTAATATTTTAGTACTTGCGATTTAAGCCATATACCTAACTTTTTACAAGTTAAATTCAAGTTTGAGATCAGTCTCATCGTTAGAAAGGGGAGGAACACACAGAAGAAAACGTACAATGGGCCATATATGGGCCCAAGTGTGGAACATGAGAATGAAAGAAGTTTGTCATCCCATTATCAAGTAGCAGTGGACCACCACTAAACCGCCCAACAGCTTAGAAAGGTCCAACAACAGAAACAAGTGAAAAAGCCTTGTTCAACGGACGACGTCGTTGTCTTTGATTAGACAACTGTAAGAAAGAAAAGTACTAATTAAAGCCACTGTGCCACTATAGTGTGCTCGTGTTACAAGATCAAACCAATTTTGGTCTTAAACAAATATAAATAAACATATATGTTCGTGTTACACCATTGACAAGATAGAGTGAAACCTCTATAAATGAATAATGTTGGGACTACACCAAAATTTAATTTTTTTAAATAATTTAGAGAGATATTAATTTATAGATATACTAATTGAACAAAAACTCAATTTGAGATTATAAAATTATATTAATTTATAGAGATATTTAGTGTATATTAATTTATCGAGTATTAATTTATAAAGGTTCTACTGTATATAATTTGTGACATTTATTATAATGCAGAGTTGAAACTTAAAATCCAAACTAATTCTTATAAATTACATTATGTTTGTTTAAGACATGCATAGTTACCAACCATAATTGACATCATTGTAGAAATTTCTAAAATTGCTTTTGCATTTTAAAGTAAGATTTGTTGAGACGTATAACATGAACTGTATAAGTAACGGTGTAATTTTCCTGATATTCGAAAACCTATAATAATGCACCTTATAATTACCAGGCTTATTATTCAATATTTGTTTAACTGTATAGTATATCTGTTATATTAACTTTGTAATTCAGATAAGCAGAGAACTAAGTCAACAACGGCCAATCATATCCGATCTAAGCAGTACGATTTTCTTAGGGGGGTAAGGTCGTAAGACATTCATTCCCTTGGCTCAACTTTCACTTAATAGTCATTCTATTTCAAATTTTGATTCCTAATAGTAAGATATAATTATATCTGGACTTAATTAAACTTGGATTCTATATAATATTTTAAACTCTGTATTCTTGTAGAGAGTTGAACTTAACCATATGTGAGACTGTATATTTATAAAATATGAAACTGAAAATTTATCAAACAACAAAACAAATAAAAAAAACGAAAATATGAGTTTAGCATGCAAGTGCATCTGGATGCATCAAGGTGAGAGCAATTGTATAAACCGAATGTATTGTTTGTTTTTATTTGAATACGGTGGGCGAGAAGAACAAAAAGATGATCAGGTAATGAATGAAACTTGGAAACCATGCAAAGCCACACCTCTACCTTCACAACATTCTTACGTGTCCTCTTCTCTTCATCCCAGATCTCCTTTTTACTACAAAAAGTATTTCAAACCCATTTATATAAATGTTCTGTTACAACAACAACTTCTATATATCTCTTATACCCCTTTTGTGATCTCTTAAACTTTGTAGTTTCAAATCATATAAAATCAATATGGCGAATGTGGACAGGCGTGTGCATGTCGACCATTCTGACAAACGAATTCATATTCAGCCGCAGTACGAAGGTGATGTCGGTTATGGTTATGGTGGTAATACTGATTACAAGAGTAGAGGCCCCTCCAGTAACCAAGTACGTTTGTGTCCTCTTTAGCTTTTTTTTTTCTTTCTCATATTCACGCTTAACTAGACAAGTGTTTCTTCGAATTTTAAATGAAAGTGAAGAATCATGATTTTCGAACTTCATTTCCATTATAGTCCACATTAATTTTCAAGTCTTAGGATTCCTAAACAAGATATGCAAAAATGTCTACTAAATATAGAATTTAAAACTCGAGTTTACACGACAGCACCACTTACATGCGTATGCATGCATATATTTATATGATTATGTATGACCATATATCAAGATGGTCATGGTTTGGATTTATTACAATTTGAGTTTTGACATAAAAGGGTCTAAATAAAACCGATACATGCAGATCATGTCACTTATAGTAGGAGTTCCCGTTGGTGGCTCACTGCTAGCCCTAGCTGGACTCACTCTAGCCGGCTCAGTGATAGGTTTGATGCTCTCCGTTCCACTCTTCCTCCTCTTCAGCCCGGTGCTTGTCCCTGCGGCTATCACTATTGGGCTAGCTGTGACCGCAATCTTGGCTTCTGGGTTGTTTGGGCTTACGGGTCTAAGCTCAGTCTCATGGGTCCTAAACTACCTTCGTGGGACGAGTGACACAGTGCCGGAGCAATTGGACTATGCTAAGAGGCGTATGGCTGACGCAGTAGGCTATGCTGGTCAGAAGGGAAAAGATATGGGTCAGTTTGTGCAGGATAAGGCCCAGGAAGCACATGATACTAATATCACCACCGAGACCAATGGTAAGGCAAGGAGGCACACATAAAATTGCGAAGTTCTGTTGAAAAGTCGATTATGTAATTTTACTTTCGTGTGCCATGTTCTTCCTTCTAGAATATTTTCTCAATATGTATGTGTGTATGTTCGTTTTGTTATGTTCAAATAAAAAGAAACTGTGAGTGAATAAAGAACGAAATAAACCTGTTGTCTTTTTATTTTTGTGATAACGATAAAATTTCTTAACGTTTAAGTGGTGGTAATATAACTTGTTGAAATGTTAGATGATTGTATAACTTTATAATTAAGGTTATTAATTGTTATAATATACAAGTTCTTACATTATTTGCACATTTAGTGCTCCAAATAAGGAATAACAATGGCTCTTGCAGTTAAACGTTTATTGCTGATCTTAAATAAGAGTTAAAATTTGAATTAGATCATTCCATGAATCAAGGCACAATTCCTCTAGTAATAGTGTCATGTACCACTTCTAGTATATGGTTCTCGACAAAACAATTAAATCAGTGAGCGATTACACCAACTTTAAATTCGTTACATTTTATTTTTAATTTTTTATTATCACGAATGTTCCATCTACATGAAAGATTACGTCTATACCAAGTTCCATCCTTCTTTCACAGGCAAAAAATGAAGCCATGAACATAACTTCTCCAACACGCTAACTTTTGTTCGGTAATAACTAGATTTAACTATTTATCAAAGTACACATGCAAAATCACATATCCCTCCAATTTGTTCTTCCGTGGACATATAATTTTCTTATTAGTCCGCAAACCTGATCTAAATATCACCAGTTTTCAAATCATGATTTGTTATCGATTTATTGATATGCAAAATCTTCTTCGAACTCAATTAGTGAACATTTACCACTCCATGATCATGTGTGCTTTCCATCAAATAGTGCCGGCCCGGTGAATGCGAGAGCCTAGAAACCCAATATATTTTTGGCCCATTATTAGACACGTTTACAATAATTCAAATAATTTTGTAGGGTAAAAAAATTAAACTTCTTACCTACAAAGAATTATTGTCAAGGTAGGGTCGATGAAATATACACTCTAATGCAGAATCACCAACAGAAAAAAATGCATAAGTTGCTTTTTGGCAGTCTAGTCAGTAGCATCACAATTCCCATAAGCAAGATGAGATTGGTTCAATAAAAGAGGGGCCAGAAAATGTTACATGTTTTTGCAGAAATCGCGTTTGGATTGGTTATACAATATCTACAGACGGAAAGTCTGATGTCCAAGGAAATTTATAGAAGATCTAGGTAAAATCCAAGCCTACAGACTTAGCTTAATTCCATTTTCCGAGTAAGGAAAACTGAAAGCCATGATATTAAACTGTGAACAGTCAGATCAGACATTATCATCAATTGCTACATGTGAGCTAGACACAATCCAAGATAATGATATCATGTTTACAGTTTTGCAACTGACTCATCAGACGCTAATGCAAGGCTATAAGCTACTGAGCAGATCAAAATAGATTATGCGCCAATGCTTGTGAAGGTGATGCATAACAATTGTGTAGCCTTGACCTAGAGAGACCATTTGCCTCTTGAGACACAGATTAGGCTTGCTGCGCTGGTCATCCTTTGATTCCTTTTAAAATTTAATATTTAGTTGACTATAATTTCTGATCTAATTTTATCTTAAAAAAAAAAAATTTATTCTTATCATCGCAATCTCAATCCTAGCCAATAGGCAAGAAGAGAAACTCACAAATGTATAGGAAGATTATCCTCTTCGGACAAGATCTTTCACTGCCACGTGGCACAACTATAGCCTCTATCAGTCTCATAACACAAGAATCTAGTCAGTGGAAATCTAAACAAACCAATCAGAACTCGCTGACGTGTCTTACTCTAGACACAAGATCTTCCACGACCACGTGGTACAACCATAACCTCTAGTAATCTCATGCACAATATGAATCTAGTATGTGGAAATCTAAACCAACCAATCAGAACTCGCTGACCTGTACATATTCTAATCTCCCTTAAGATAAACACCTTCGGATCTCTATTATAAAATCAAACATACATAACACCAACCAATCATCTCATCTTATCTTTGCTTATTTCTCTCTTTCGTTTGTGTTCTTGTAGTTAAAGACAAAAAAGAATGGCTACTTCAGCTATCCAACACTCCTCTTTTGCTGGCCAAACGGCTCTCAAGCCTTCCAACGATCTCATCCGCAAAGTCGGAGCTTCCAACGGTGGTGGCCGCGTCGTCATGCGTCGTACCGTCAAGTCTACTCCTCAGAGCATCTGGTTCCTACCCTAATCTTCTCTCTATTTTTTTTTTCATTTTTACAAGAAAATGAGTTTTTGTTTTAAATATTAAAAGAATGGAAATGCGGTTCAAGATTTGATTTTAGATCTATTTAATTTTCTTAAAACTATAAATTACGTTTTTTTCTTGTTTGAATTTGATTTAGGTTATTTAATTTTATATATTATCAAAATTTGATATATAGCTAATCACAAAAACATATAATTTTGTACACAACATAGGTATGGACCAGACCGTCCCAAGTACTTAGGTCCATTCTCAGAGAACACACCATCATACCTAACCGGTGAATACCCCGGAGACTACGGCTGGGACACAGCCGGTCTCTCTGCTGACCCAGAAACCTTTGCAAAGAACCGTGAGCTCGAAGTAATCCACAGCAGATGGGCAATGCTAGGCGCTTTAGGCTGCACGTTCCCTGAGATTCTCTCCAAAAACGGAGTCAAATTCGGTGAAGCCGTGTGGTTCAAGGCAGGCTCTCAGATCTTCTCAGAAGGAGGACTTGACTACCTCGGAAACCCTAACTTGATCCACGCGCAAAGCATTTTAGCTATTTGGGCTACTCAAGTTGTGCTAATGGGTTTAATCGAAGGGTACAGAATTGGAGGTGGACCTCTTGGTGAAGGTCTTGACCCGCTTTACCCGGGTGGGGCGTTTGACCCGTTGAACTTGGCTGAGGATCCAGAGGCATTCTCGGAGTTGAAGGTGAAGGAGCTCAAGAACGGTAGGCTTGCCATGTTCTCCATGTTTGGATTCTTTGTCCAAGCTATTGTTACTGGTAAAGGTCCGATTGAGAACTTGTTTGATCATGTTGCGGACCCTGTGGCTAACAATGCTTGGGCTTACGCCACCAACTTCGTTCCCGGAAAATAGAATGTGATCGGATTAATTCATGTAACTTTGTTTTTTTTAATCTTTAAGCATGGACAATATTTAAGTATCTTTGTTTGATGTGATTGTTGAAAGAACTATTATATGTATGCTAAACATATTTTCATGGTATTTGGGAATCATTTCTAATTCCCTAATGAATAATTTATTTAAATTTTATATACCATCTAATAAATGGACTAACCACTATAAAACTCTATTTTTTTTGGAGAAATAGGAACACCAAAGCTCTCAAACCTCTTTAATCTTCTTACTATCCTAGTTCATGATGCAGCTATGCATTAAAACAAAAGTATTATTTTTTTTTTTAATTTTTCTTGAAATATGTAGGTTAACCCCCTACGAAAAGACTGAATTTTCTAATAAATACTAACTCTACTATTTAGCCTATTTAGTGTTGTTTAAAAATACCTAACCATACTTTGAATTTATATATATGTATGCTAAACTTATTTTCATGGTATTTAAGAATCATTTCTAATTCCCCAATGAATAATTTATTTAATCATTAATACCATCTAATAGATGGAATAACCCCTATAAAGGTCTATTTTCTGGAGAAATAGGAACACCAAAGCTCTCAAACCTCTTTAATCTTCTTACTATCCTAGTTCATGATGCAGNTCATGGTATTTGGGAATCATTTCTAATTCCCTAATGAATAATTTATTTAAACTCTATATACAATCTAATAGATGGAGTAACCCCTATAAAAACTCTAATTACTGGAGAAATAGGAACACCAAAGCTTTCAAACCTCTTTAGTATTCTTACTATGCTAGTTCATGATGCAGCTATGCATTAAAACAAAAATATTATTTTTGTAATTTTTCTTGAAATATGTAGGTTAACCCCTACGAAAAGACTAAATTTTCTGATAAATACTAACTCTACTATTTAGCCTAATTAGTGTTGTTTATAAATACCTAACCACACTCCTAATTTGTATATATGTATGCTAAACATATTTTCATGGTATTTGGGCACCAATTATAATTCCCAAATGAATAATTTATTTAATCATTAATACCATCTAATAGATGGACTAACTCCTATAAAACTCTATTTTCTGGAGAAATAGGAACACCAAAGCTCTCAAACCTCTTTAATCTTCTTACTATGCTAGTTCATGATGCAGCTATGCATTAAAACAAAAATATTATTTTTGTGTAATTTTTCTTGAAATATGTAGGTTAACCCCTACGAAAAGACTGAATTTTCTGATAAATACTAACTCTACTATTTAGCCTATTTAGTGTTGTTTAAAAATACCTAACCATACTTCGAATTTATATATATGTATGCTAAACTTATTTTCATGGTATTTAAGAATCATTTCTAATTCCCCAATGAATAATTTATTTAATCATTAATACCATCTAATAGATGGAATAACCCCTATAAAAACTCTAATTTTTGAGAAATAGGAACACCAAAGCTCTCAAACCTCTTTAATATTCTTACTATGCTAGTTCATGATGCAGCTATGCATTAAAACAAAAATATTATTTTTTGTAATTTTTCTTGAAATATGTAGGTTAACCCCTACGAAAAGACTAAATTTTCTGATAAATACTAACTCTACTATTTAGTCTAATTAGTGTTGTTTATAAATACCTAACCACACTCCTAATTTGTATATATGTATGCTAAACATATTTTCATGGTATTTGGGCACCATTTATAATTCCCAAATGAATAATTTATTTAATCATTAATACCATCTAATAGATGGACTAACTCCTATAAAACTCTATTTTCTGGAGAAATAGGAACACCAAAGCTCTCAAAC